TAAACAGCCACTGTATCAGTCGAAAAATCCCTACCTCGATCTGGCTGCTGCAGACGACGACGGGAGGAGGAGGAGGAGGAGGAGGAGGAGGGAGGAGGAGGAAGAGGAGGAAGAGAACCACAACAAACCCTCGGAGTCCTGGAAGGTTACCTCCTTGCCAGGACTATCATCGGCCGCCAGGTTTACTGCAGCTATCGACGAAATCACGAATCGATTCGAAGGCACACAACCTAGCCCATCACAAGATCGTCAGACTATTCCCACCTCGATATCTGGCCTCATCCCTTTAGCTGGATTGCAGGACGGGAGGATGTATCTTCTCCATGTCCAACGTAAGTCTTTCTATCGATGTCATATCATTCGTAACTCATCAATTACAGGAAATGTCACAGATTATATCGCTGCACACCTTCGGAGGAAAAAATTTGCCGTCAAGGTGTCAGCTTGGATAGCTGGCCAGCTGTATGTGGTGGCAGACAGCCCCAAAACCATCGCAGATTCGCTTCCTTTCTCGCTCTACCTCGCCGTGAAACAATATCTCGTCATAACGGATGAGGAACGTGAAATGGTCGAGCGTTCTTGCAGCAAGCTTCCCATTCCAGCTTGGGTGAGGATCAAGCATGGCAAGTATAAGGGCGACATAGCCCAAGTCTTCGATTCGGATTTGCCGAATGATTTGGTTGCGGTCTTGGTTCCCTACGAGATTTCCCATACCCCATGTCCCGAGGATCTCGGTGTCTACTCGACCGATCCCGCCTTCCGAACGGGGACGCGGTCTCCAACATCTATCGCGATGACGAAGTTATAGGCTGCAAGTACAAAGGAGAGAGATACTACATGGGCCTCCTACTTCGCAACTTCCACCGCGATCGCCTAGAACGTGTCGTCTGCCCTCACGTTAACGACATTGAACTCCATTTGCGATCCGGATGGGACAAGTCATTCCTCAAGAGCACTGTTGTTGCGTTTTCGATGCAGTTCTTGCACGCAGGCGATTGGGCCAAGATCGTCAAAGGAGATCTTAGTTCAGAAGTCGGGATGGTCACCTCAACCGACCATACTGTCGGTTCTGCCACCTTGGATTTGAGCTTGAGTGGACACCGAAAGGAAGTAGAATGTCGATTGCAGGACATAGAACGCGTGTTTCGGATCGGCGACACGGTTCGAGTTGTAGCAGGTCCATACTTCGGTGTGGAGGGGCACATTATTGAAATGGTAGATGATATATTTCGTCTTTGTCAAGATGTCTCAAAGGAAGAGGTGAGGGTCTATTTTCAATTCAGATTTGGCGAAATCATCTAATATAATGCATCATGGCAGGTGGAAGTTTCAAAGTACTATCTGGACCAGCGCCCTCTGACTCACACGTGGCAAGAACGACCACCAACGCAGCAACTTTTTACACCTCCCGCTGATGTTGAATCAATTCAAATAGGGGATTGTGTAGAAGTACTTGTGGGGGAGCATATAGGCAAGTGTGGCATCGTGCGTTGGCTGCCCAAGGGAGGAGGAACTCTGTGGTTCCAGGACGGAACATTGTACATTCCGGTTCCCATTGCAGTAGTTCGGCGGACACACCTCCCACACCTTCAGACATTACAGTTCACGAAAGACAAGGGCTATGATGTCAAACCTGGAGACATTGTAAGAGTCGCCCGTGGGCCAGAATATCAGACGAAAGGGATCGTGCGAAGCGTCGACTTTCCGAATGCTCGTTTGACCCTACTCTCTGACATCGATCATTCACTCGTCAGTAATATCTTCCTCAACCTATGTATATCTATGAATAACTGACTTCTGGCAGGTTGATGTTCCCATCTCTTTCGCGATGAAAATACACAACGCCAGCCTGGATTCCTTCAAACAGGACATCGGCCAAGAAGTATTCATCATTGGGGGTGACCGTAAGGGTTACCGAGCTACGCTCTACAGCCTCGCCGTAGAGAAATGTACACTTGCTGTGCATGGGCAGCAACGCACTACAATCCCACTCCAGAATGTTGCCACAAGGTAAGCAGCACGCGTATTTTCACAGCGGACTAATTGCTCATATGTGTGTTTAGGTACGGAAGGAGACTAAACGGTACGATGCTCGAAGGAATAGACATGTTGTCTTTCTGTGAGATGCGGAGAAAATCGTACCTAGCCCCACAACCTCGAAGCGTCACCCCCCCACCTGAGAAGGCTCACTCTAGCTCATCGGTTGCAATTGCAGCTCCTGGCACGTCCTCATCCGCCTGGACCAACTGGACCACCAGCCCCGATGATCAGGCTAGCAGTCCTTTGCCCAGCATTAATCCCAGCACTTTGACTGCCGATCCGAATCCCTGGACTGTCGATACTGGCGACACACTAGATAACATTGATTCTCGATCGGAGAAACTCGAAGAGGGTGAGTCCACCCGGGGAGCCATCCATAACATTTTGCTTATTTTATCGTAGGCCCGCTAGCTTGGCTAATGAAAAAGGAATTTTCCTCCAAGCTCACCACGTATCACGTGATGTTAAAAGTCTCGCCCTCCTTTATGAGAGGCAGGCTACACAATCGATTTGTGTCAACCGCTTGCCCTGATCCCTTCCTCGGTCTGAATGGACCCGCCCCCGAGGGCTGTGTTGCAGTGTTCTGTTCATCGAACGGTGCAGGCGCCGCCATTCAGCACTATCACATACCAATCACAGATCTAAGCCGAGCTCCTCCTCGCAAAAAAAAATCAAGAGTGTATTGTTCTAGATGGGAGTCATCGCGGTTCCATCTCTACTATAGCTAAGTGCAACCTTAAGAAGAACACCGTGGATATTGCAGTTACTCCTTCTACCTTGGTAACTTTACGTTTTGATCAGATCTGTCTTGTGGAGAAGTCACGCGCTACTATGTGATACCATTATACCATTACCACTACCTTGCCGTTCAATACCATTACCATTACGAAAGCACCCTGCGCGACGAATACCTGATGACTGCTCACCGAGCGCCCACCGAGCGCCCAATGAATGCGCACTAAGATTCCCCATTGCTTAAATTTCGCATTTTCTCAAACTCATTTGAACGTAAGGTAAATTTAAAATTTTCCGGCGTGGCAACACGTCCGTTATTATATAATATTGTGTGGAACATTTTTCTGCAGCTCAAAATTTCGCATTTATCTTTGGACGAACAAGTTAACATTTAAACCAATATTTTTCGAAAAGTGAAAATTTTCGAGTTTTTCATGCATTTAAATAGTTCAAAATTGGTATCAAAATGTGTTATTTGTGCTTTGTCATTCGAAATTTGCCATTAATCCAGTGATAAAATTCAATGTACGAATGACTAATTTGTCATTCTCATTTCAATCAAAATCTTGCCTTAGGGAAAACTCTGAAACCGCCGGTGTGTGATAGCTTCTGTTTGTCATTTCATTCCTTGTTTTCGACTTCTTCTGTACATTCTACCATCGCAGCCTTATCTATCTTGTTTCTGCAGGATCGTTATCAGACCTCTCACAGACTTTGGGTGTTGTTGACATAAACAAAGATATTATGAAACTCCTGTGATGATCTTCCTCCGTGTCGGCTCCACGTCTCGAACGATGCCAATGGCATGCTATGATGGCACATTCCGTCAGTCCGGTTCAATCTTGGTTTGTTGCGAGGACAGCGTCACATATCCAAACAATAATCTGTACCTGTGTTACCGCATGTCCTGAGCGTTTCTGCATTTGTCCGGTACCGACACCATGTCACGCAAGCATAACTTAGTTGGGAGGCTCGCAAACCAATTGAGAGTGTTTCTGAAAGCATTGGCTCCCGTTACGACTTATTCATCGTCTGTTTCGTACCCTTCTGCAACTATATTCTCGTACTACCCACTCAAAGGGACGGACGCCTAGAGCGAGTCGTTGGTTCATTCCAGCCCCCATCCTTCCTTTGGGCAACCATACTCAACTATAAGTGCCACCGCTATCAGGGTCGACGGGCGATTCATTGGTTCCATTATTGACAATCCTGCGACATCAGCTAATTATGGTCAGCAGCCGTCTCCTGCAGTTCCAGTCCTCTCCCAGTGCCAATCGGAGTTCAGGCCGACCACGCCCTCCTTGGTGAAACGATACAATCAAAGCGCTACAATGTGAGCTTCTTGGTTCCGAATGGATTTACGCACTGGGTGGAGTCGCAGCAAGCGGGAAGTCAAACTTATGGATATTCCATTATTCAAAGTGAGTCCGGTCATTTTATTGGATCAAATAGTGCTTGATGACGGAACGTAGTACAGAAGACAGCGGGACTGGTGTGCCCGTGTACACCGTGAAGGAGCTCTACTTTCATGACACCATTTGCGTATGTCATTCATAACAACGTGCCCTCCGTCGCTTATTGCAGGCAACAGGGTATTCACACCGACTCGTACATGCGGGACGAAAGACGTCGATCTAGCATGACCTCGATGAGTTGCTCGCTCTGATGACTTATGGATTGCAGCTTCGCAGTGGCGACATCGAGCTCGTGGTAGAGTTTACAAGGAATCGCAACCATCATAGGGTATGCGGATACTATTTCGTCGATCATCCCAACCGTCTATTTTTCCGGCTTCATGAAATACCCACGGCAAGGATCTTTGATGGAGTTCCGGGCGTCAAGAAGTGGAGCCATATTAGTCCGTCCTCTGACAGGAGTAAATATTTGATTCTTTACATCTTCAGAAGTATGCTATCCAACACTAGTACTGGCAAGTCATTGTTTGTCTGGTCGTGAAATTCTTCTGACAGAGTGATAGAACAGATTTTGCAGTATTGATACAAGATTAATCAGATTTTAGGCAACACCGCGAGCTGTATCCCATTGACAAGCTGCCAGGCCCTCAGTCGCTCAAGGAACTCAATGTCGCTAAATGGAGTTTATAGAGGTTATTACGACGGACTTGTCATTATCGCCCTTTGACGGCAGCTTCTATATCAGACATCCCAACAGCACATTACAGCTACTTATATTGCCAGACCTTATAATTGCACCTACATTTGTATAATGACAACCGTATCAATGATTCTGCCTGCCTGTGTCAATTCGACACTGTTGCTCGCGTCTACGCCCGAATGGCGAGGGAACTCGGATGAGCGTGTGTGCATTGGTGTAGACAATGCATATCTCGTTCAATCCTACAGACATTTCGACAATTATCGGGGTAGTATTGTGCCTGTAATGACATTCCGAAGAGTGCGTACAGCACGTTAGCCAAAACTGGAGCGGAGGTGGAAAGAATCAATCTTTAAATAAATAATTCAGCGTCCTCACCAGGAAACACAACTCTAATGGTCGTCGAATGTCCCACACCCCGCCAAAACCAGCACACCCACTATAAGAGTGTGGGTGGGCCGGCACAGGCGAAGATGAGGGTTTCTCCATATCAGAAAATAGTCTGGCATATCGTCGACAATGAGCAGGAATATTTGCTCTAGAAGTTCAATGGGAAGTCGATGGATGGGGATGGGGGTTGGATAGCTCGGGTTGACGGGAGAAACGAGAGAATGAGCGAAGGATATTATGCATAGATCCCGCGCCTGAGCACTTCCTGCCTTAGGGCGAGGGCGGCCGCAGTGGGAGGTTGCGTTTACGACAGCGCCGATTGGTGTGCAAAAGGCTCTGGACGAATGAAGAATGTACCGTTATTTTGATACCTGCGACTCGGGTTGTGACGTCAGCTACGATCCCGAAGGTCCGGAATCTATCTTGCTTGACAGCGTCAATGCTGAGTTTGCTCGACTAGAAGATGGGAAAAGAACGATGCATGAGAATTTGCCTCGGACTGAGATGTGAATCGGAGGGGGTATTAGAAGGGAGGGCATTTGACTTTGCGTGGCTAGCTAGTGCCGGTAGTGTGGTAGACGAGATAATGGTCCCAGACCACAATGCAAGGACTTGGCCGCTTGGACTCCGAGGTTATCTAGTGGTCTCACATCAATGTAGCACACTTGGAGTGCCATCAATTTTTTTCGTTAATTCTGCCACTTGCTACACTGTTCTGTTGCCAGTTTTACCGGCAGAACTACTTCAAAATAGTTCTGCCCACGATACCGTCTACCTGCGAGAAAACGAAGAGATAAACGCATTAGTAAATCCCCGACTCCCACGTTAGTGGAGGCCTTTGTCAGTAGGATATGTTTATTTCCCCTCTATTATAATAATGGATTGAGAGGAATAAGACATCGCGTGGATCAACGCAATTATCAAGCAGTAGTACGTATGACAATTCCACTGCAACCACGATGACTGACGACGCTCGAGGCGTATGACTGAGTCAACATTCTGGGCATAGGAAGAGCGAGGGAGCGAAAGAGGTGTGAGTCAAACGAATGACTTGCCTGGGGATTCCTGATGACTGCCTGGGATTCCTGAATTGACTTGCCTGGGGATTCCTGAAGTGTCGCTCACTGGCAGGAATCAGAATGCCATGTCTGCAGGGATGAGCAAGGGTGCGAAGGAGTGGCGTGCTTGGCGCGCAAGCACCGTTACGATTTGGATTAATGGAGACGAATGATTGAATTTCTGTCCCGAGTGACGGCAGCATGCCCTGGTTGGAAGTTACACCCATGATAGAGCGGTACTACTCACCAATTCGCTGGGGAACGACGGAAACATTTACTAGTAGAGATACCGCAGGATCGGGAATTTACACAGCGCGTGGGAATAAGCAAGTACAGAGGTTTTGGTGGCGTATACTTATACGTACGCGTGTCGCTCGCATACAGGATGTGCGCACGGAGATTGCACGTGTGCACATTCATCAACAGAAATGCAGTAGCTAGGTACATGCCTATAGATCCCGCGGAACCAATTCCCGTGCGATGTTCGCTTATCTCCGTGTATTATGTAATCAGATGTGCAATTGATAAGATTACTTAAGAGTTAAGAATTTATTTGATTTATTTGGTGATTCTTAACCACTTTTGATCTATGTTCAGTCGCGTTTGAACTTCCAGGGAACGTCTTGAGAGATACATCTATAAATATAACATACTTGGAAGAAACATGTCTTACGAAGCAGATTTGAAATTTCACAATTCATTTGGCGGTAGATCACAGTGACTATATCCGGTGTCTTTCTTGACTGCACTATCCTCTTAAGAGTCTAAGCAAGTTTCCGGAAAACTCATGTATGCGCTGGCGGAACCAGCATGAAATCCTGATATATATCGAATCAACGTCGCTAGAAAATCTACGATAAGTCCCATTCTCTATCTATGATCATCCTAGGGCCGAGTCAATGTTCGCCAACTGACGGATTTTAATTGTTCCACGCCAAATTCCCAATGGACCTCAGGAGTTCGTGGCAATCTGCTGGCATTGCAGATAGGCTCATCTATTCGAAGACGAGAAGAATGTCAGGGGATTTCGGTGAATAGGTCCTTCCTATATCGACAAGTATTCGCCATGAACTCCAGCATATAAAGCAAGCCGTCTTCACCCTGTCCCCTTCGGACATATCTAGTCACATATCACATCATCATCGCAAACAATGCGTTTCTCCTCTGCGATTTTCTTCGTCGTCGTCGCTGCTTTGACATCATCCATATCTGCCAGGCCCCATGACGATGGCAGTATGCTCGCTCGGTCCGCTCAATGTTCCACATTTTGCGTGAGAGACTCGCAATGCACTGGTTGTGCTCAAGGATATTGCGTGAGTATCAGTAGTTTGCGTCTTGGATTTAACCACATGACTCACCGGCATGACAGACCCCCCTCTTTTGCCAAGTGAGCCGTGTTTTTGCTTTGACATCAGTCCAGTATGGTCGTTGGTTCTGACGCGCGAGTTACCAGTAAATTTGCGGAGTTGATAGACGTGTTGGGTTCTAAACAATTTTGCTGCTGCTCGAGTCGAGCAATGGAGATCTTAGAGGGCTCGCTTGTAAATGCTGTTTGTAACATGATAGCGCCAAGTTGGTCCGAAAGCCTTGATTGAAAATAACATTCACGCACGGTTCTGAGTCCGTTGCGTGGAGCATTTGAGAAGAGCTCAGCAACAGTGTGATGCAATCGTGACTGTATGATCCAGAGGCGGGTCGCATCTTTGCCCGCCGCTACCGAATGACAAATCCCAAAACAGGTCCAGTAATTGATTTGCATGTTAGCCTATGATGTGTGACTGCAACGAATTTGTACATGAACAGGATATAAGTTAACACGCGAGAGCAGCCACGAAAGCTATTGCAGAAAAGTGAGCTTGGGTACAAAATACATCGGTACGAGTTCTTCTTTGCTTCTTGTCAGCGTCACTCTATCAGCACCTGCCTCAAATACAACGAACAATAACAAATCCGTCTGGAATTATCGCTTTCCTCTCCAGGCAGCTGCGCCCCCAATGGACATGCCGAAGCTCCCAAAAGCAGCAGCAGCAACACTCGGCGGAGTCCCAGCATCGCTAGTTGGACTAGTGATACCTCCCGACGATCCTTTGTGTCCATGAGCTGCAGCTCCGAATGAGGAGCGGAAGGAAGACGCCGGAGCGGACTGTATGAAGATGAATTTGTTAGGTAGCGGTCGGTCATCTGTGTTGTACTGATAAGAAACCTTTGTCAGTTATGTACCTGTGCAAGGTAGCTAGGAACTAACCTGGAACTCGAGACCAATATTATCAGCTTCGGAGACGTCTAGAAGCTTTATCAGTTTTCTACCTATCCCGTTCAGCCTCTCGACGTCTTCTTTGCTCCTCGTCCATACTTGAATCCTGTCGACCTTGCTCCGAAGACTAACCACCGCACCACAAATCTCGTCCCCTTCCTCGAGCTCTTCACCGACCAGCGCCATCGCAAGCCATGTCCAGCAGCGGTCTAGAAGTGCAGGATTATTCTTCATTGTCAGAACCCACTTGCCACCGTTGGAGTTTGCTGGATCCTCCCACATCGGTTTAATTCCCGATTTAAAAATGTGATAGTTGGAGTTACGGTCCAGTTTGGAGGGTGGTTTCAGCCAATTGAAGTACCGGCAGAAGGACTCCACCGTATTGAATTCTCCAATGACAGTCAGACCAGCTTCATAGTCTTCTGTCTCGGGTGGGGCGGAAAGGAAAGGTGTGCCGCCCTCTTCAACAACTCCCTTTGGATGAACGAGGGGCGCTTTGGATTTTGAGTCATGATAGATCGTCCTACACATGTCATTAGACGATAGTGCGGCAGACAAATAACAAAAATCTTCACCAAGGAAACTGTAATGGATGCTCTGGTGCTTTTATAGTAGCTCCTGGTGTCTTTGGATCCTCCACCATCTCAGCTTCCGGTGGACGCGCAGACCCGTCGATGCTCAGCGATCTCGCTTTAGCCAAGTGCGCTGTTATCGCGTCAAGAGATGGAATATTCTTGTATCCCTTCACCTTCTTCTCAGTTTTCGACTCCTGATTAAGTTCTTTGAGGTTCTCCTGAGTCAAGGGTTCTGAAGATGCAAGTGGCGCATCCTCTGGTATTGATGGAGTCGTGGATTTCGGTGGCGTGGCGGCAGTCATAGCGGTGAGCGCCGGAGACACCGAGCGAGTGGAAGGGGCATTAACGGCTACTGAGTCGTTCGTGGACGTCGTAGACAATGAGGTTTGCGATCCCGTGCGCAGGAGTGAAGCAGCGAGACGTGGGCGGGAGGCTGGGGATGATGACGGCGCGTTCGCACCGTTGCCGAGATTAATACGAGCAGCGAGCTGGTTCAAGGACGGCGGGCGGCCAGCTGATGATGGCTTTGGAGCGTGCATGGACGCTTGGAGCGAGTTTGGTGGACTGGACATGGTGGTTAGACTCAAGTCAGCGATAACTCCAAATCAATCAACCGATAACAATACATCAACACCGCATTTTGACATCGCCGTTTCAGGGACTCGCCGCTGTCTGTCAAATCTTTTGACTTTCCTCCTGATTTTCTACAGTGTCTTTGATTTGCGGTCTTTCGGCATCGTTGCGAAACGGGAAGGTGATGTGTAGTGATAGGCTTAAATTTCTACGTACAAACGTGAAGCTACACCCTTGGCACCACTTTCCTCCCGTTCCCAGGGTCTAAGAGACCCGGTTTCCTTGTAGAGCGCAACTGGTCTGTGAGACCCCCCCTCTCGCGAGGTCATGAGACCTCTCTGAGTATTGTGAGTACCTCTCCCCTCGTGTAACCTCTGTTGTCAGTCTCGGTGCTCCCGCTCCCCCTCTTGGCCCTCCCCTAGTAGAGGCTTCTGCGAGACCTCTACATAGCCTCTGTCAGTCTCAGTGCTCCCGTTCCTCCTCTTGGCCCTCCCCTAGTAGAGGCTTCTGCGAGACCTCTACATAGCCTCCTCACCCTCGTCCACCCTCCTCTGCACCTCTAAGCGCTCCTTGATAGTAGATACTCGTGTGTATGTTTTTTTACTATATTCGTATGTCATAATACTATTCCCTGCACGATGCGCCCAACAATTAAGCACTTATATTTGACTCATTTCACCCAAGGAGATCACTCATGTAATAAGTCAACAAACAACATGTTTATTTTCAGCGGCACAAAACATACATTGCGAGAGATGGAACATGGTATGGTACGAGGGGAAGACAGCGGGAACAGCATGATTTTCGCAGCAAGACAATAGGCACCTCACAATTACCTTCGAATGGCGGCTCCTTCACGTTGTTCTTGCTCTGTCACCTGACCAGGTAAGGTGAGTGACATATTGGCAATGGGACTCCGGGTACTGTGGCGTCCATCTCCTCGAGGAGGCTGGCGCTGATATGCACGCTCGTAGCCAGCATGACCCTCGCGATTTGTGGGATGCATGTATTCTCCACGAATATCCAGTGGGGGAGGTCCACGCAAGCGGTCATCAAGAAGTTCACGGTCTGGGTACCGCGCATCACGATCTGGGTACCGTGCGTCGTGGTCTGGGTACCGCGCATCACGATAGTATGATCGCCCATACCCGGTGGCATCACGATAGCCTGTGCTCCGGTCGCCGTAATACGGATACTCCCTGTGATAAGGGTAGTCTCCTCCTGGTTGTGGTCGTCTGGTATACGCATGTCGGTCTAAGTCCTCGTGGTACATGTACGCACTGCGTGGATCATCGTTGGGGTGGCGACGGTCATCAAGTAGTGCAGGAGAGTTGTCTCGGCGAGGGTGCAGGTCACGGCCATCATTGAGTGGGAGGTCATGGATGTCGTTTGCGTTACGAGCCTCCCATGATTGACCGCGATTGTGAGGACGCCAATTGTCGTGAGGCTCGCGCAAGTGTGTGTTGTCTGCCCCGCGTGGGTCAGCATGGTGAGAGTCTGGTACATTGTGGCCAGAAAGTGAGGGGCTGAGACGCGTGTCCTCCGATGACGAGTGCAGCAGATTTTGAGGTAGTGGGAGAGGGGCGTCTGGGACAAGGACAGACTGCCCATCATCTGGTGCAGGCTCTGCAGGGTGATCTGAGTCGTGTGCGGGAGATGGAACTGCCGGAAGAGTAGGTGTTTCTGATGAATGATCCGCAGAGGTCTCGGGGTGTATGGCTCCATCGTTGTTCCGCAAGTCTTCGTCTTCTTGCAGGAGACGCATGGCCTTGGTCAGAACAGGTTGCCTTCCCTTAGGCACGGGACGTGGACGTGGCACTGGGCTCGTGTTAGTATGTTTTAACATGTATGAGTAGCAAATACCTTTTTGAACATCAGGAGGTCCATCGCGAATGCGCTTTGCTGCATTGTCTGTATAGTCATAAGTCAGGATCACAGCCGAACTGCGATAATCATAGAAGACTCACCTATAGCAGGACGTGATTGTTGTTCGTCCCCTGAGGATTCCACCATGACAGGAGACGAGTGCCCTCCTTTGGCGCGAGCTTTGCCAGCAGCCTTCGCACTTGGCTTCTTCCCGATGACCATCTTCCCTTCTGACTCCTCGATCGATCGTACACGTTTCTTCGTAGCTTGCGCACCACCTCCAGCCTTCAACTTCCGCTTCCGCGAGCGTAAATCATCATAGTCCTCGTCATCCTCACTGGGTATCTCGCGATCAGAACCATTGAGAGGCTCCTCCTCCTCCTCATCATCATCATCAAGCTCGTCAACACCATCTGGACTGGACCGGACTTCTATCACATCTGGTTTGTCAACCTCTGTCACAACCGGTTTGGCAGGGGGGCGCTTCGCAAGCTTGAATGGACGTGATGGAGGAGGTATAAGTACTTCAGGACGCATTTTGGTTTTGCGGTGCATGGCAGTCGTAGAGTCCATAGCTGCGATATCTGTGTCGCCATCAGTCTGTGTACGAGATGAGGGGACCTTCGACTTCTTCTTCCTGGTTGCGGCAGAGCTAGGTTGAAGGCGTGCAGGGCCTTTATAATCAAAAGTCCCGTTAACGAACATGCGCCTCGCGTTCGGAAAGGGAGAGTCTGCAGGAGGTGCCTCGCCAATGATGACGGGCTCCTTGGAGGCTATCACAGCAACTGTCGAGGCATCATGAGTTAAAGTGATTTCAAAAGGCTGTAGCACGTACCTCCAATGGCTTTTGTTACTTTGACAACGCGCATTGTCTTTGCCTTCAATGCGAGTGCGAGTACATTGACCTCGCGTTGCGTGAGCCCTGCAACACCTTTACTCCGTGAATTACTGTTGTGAGACTCTCCTGGCATCAAACTTAAGTGCGCGGGGTACCCCTCAATACGTAGGTGATCATTAGCGAGTGAGCTAGGCATCAATATCCATGGGAAGGGTCTATCCGAAAACTTGCCACCGAGGTCCGCTGGGGAAAATTGTCAGTATCTCACTGTGAGATGTGATGTGCTACGAACCAACTTGTTTGACTAGCCCAGCCTTGAGCGACTTTAACGCATCCTTCTCTTCGCCTACATCAGACGAGCTCACATCCAAGACCTCTATCGGTGCCTGCTCCTCGTCCCCTTCAGTGGTCTTGAAGGTCTGTTCCACGGCAGCAAGTGACATAGTATTGTAAACATGGGCTTTCATGTGCCCGATGATGACATGGTCACTGGCTCGGCAGCGCCTGTCGAAGAACTACAGAGAGTATTAAAAATTGTGAGAAACGAAGAATTTCGAGGTCGGTGACACTTACGCCACCAGC